ACATACATTTAAGTACCTCTCATTATGTTTTACATTTAAGTCATTGGATAACTCACATTCTCTCATTGAATCCAACATTTATACTTTTATTTATCATCATTAAATTTCACTAATTAATTCATACACAATAATTATTAGGATTAATTACTAACATATACCCTGTATATTTAGGAAACTACTTAAGTGTACCCTAAACTTTTAGAACCTACTTATATAAATACCCTAAACTGCAGTGGTGGTTGATTAGTTGTGGAACAAAGGGGAGAATTCATTGTCAAAATCCCTATAAAGAGAAAAGGAGTTCTATGGGTAATGTTCTTTCAAAGATTCCACTTTTTGTAATATTTCAGCAGTTCCAAGTTTCAAGTGACATTATACATCAATACAATGAGGCACTAAATAAGCATAAAACAAAGGGCAGATTGGTTTGGCTCATCGGCTCACTACAATGAAAACCCAAAAATAATCTATTTTTTTTTTATTTACTCAACTTAGTTCTAGCAGTGGTGTTTGCAACGTTAAAGAAGAAGAAGATGGAGGAAAGAGGGAGAGAAGAAGAAGAAGAATGAAAAGGGCATATTTTGAAATTTTAATGGATGGTTAGGGATACTTGTGTCTTTTTACATTTAATCTATTAAACTTAATCCTAGAAAAGTTAAAAAGGTATATATAAGTTGTTTTTAAAAGTTGAGGGTATATATAAGTAGTTTATCAAATATATAGGGTATATATAAGTAATTAACCCTAATTATTAATAGAATGGAATTTTATATTTTTAAAATAAACCTAGAAATGAAACCATATTTTCCATCTAGTTGGCAGGTAAGTAGTTCAACCATTTGTGTCAAATGGATGATTTCATGATGTCATAAATAAATAATACAAATTTAGAAATATAAAAACACAAAAAATAACGAAAATAAAGAGATTTTGAAAAAATTGGACATATTTTTATTATTATATATTTGTCATATTAAAAAAATAAATATGATAAAATAGACATAATTTTATTAATGATGGGCATGTAATATATAGCTTAAACCTAATGGGAAATGATTGAGAAAACAAATACACATCTATATCTATATCTTTACTACTATTAAAAGTGTGAAACTTTTGTTTGACTAACATACCCAAATTTTTTAATTAACTCCCATTAACATTCATTGATTCCTCTTCTTGAATAGAAAACCCTTATTTTTGTATTTCGTCCCTCTCTAATTGTGGTGGCACAAAATGTAATTTAAACTACTACATTTCTCCTCATTCATTTCCCTTTAAGTCTTATATTTATAATATTAATCCATTCTTTCATTGAATCTTATATTGATTGATCATATTAATATTAATATTAAAAAACGTGTCACAAAGAATAATCATTTTTATAGACAATAGAAATGAAATATAAATTTAAGACCAACCCAAAAATGGAGTTGTTTCATGTTTGGTGGCAAGTCAACAATTCAATCTTTTGGGTCAAATGTGTAAACCCTTGATGTCATAATTAAACAATAATAAAAATTAAAAAAAAAGATGAAAACACATAAAAGTATAAAAAATACATGAAATTTATAAAAAAAACATTTGGGTAAGTATTAATATATGTTAATACATATTCTATTATAATATATTATATTGCATAGTATAATATAGTTCTAGGTAGGTTTCAAAAAAATAAAAGAAATTAAATTTACAAGTATGCAAGTAGGAATGAGTGGGGAAGGATGGGGTAAATTTGGGGATTTTTGTTCCATGTGGGGACAAAAATGGGGTTGGGATTTCTAACCCAGATGGGGTTCTAGGTGGGGCATTTAAGCTCAGGGTCAGGGATGGGGCGGTTTCTGGATAGTTTTTTGGGGTCTTAATTCATTTCCCTCTTGTTTATTTTGGTGGCCCTTTTGAAAAAAAAATTGCAAACTTCTTTTTTATATAAATGACTGTTTATTCTTATTTTTGAACATTATTGACAATGTGTAGGTGGTTGTTTTATCTCTTTATTATCAAGTACAAAAAGAACTTAGATTTTATTAGATTTCACCTAGAGACTTGTAAAATTAAACACGTAGCTACATCCCCCCCTTTTCTTTGTTTCCTTTAACTTTGTTTCTCTTGCATACTTTTCCACTCACACTAGCACACACTTGCATCAAAATTAGTTTTAGAACCTTATTCAACCTATTAGAAGGACAGTAGGTGAGTGCCACTGAATTTTGGTCCTCCGCCAAAACCCTTCAATCAGCCACCAACTAAAGAAACCTATTTGTCCACCTTTTGATACTTTTGAGTCCAGACAACCTAATGCTTTGCTCATAGGAATACTCATAAGGTAATATCGTGCAATTTTACTTTTCACAGGTAAACAAGGTCAAGTATGAAACAAAACCAAATTTGAATTTACAACAGCCCATTTGCACTCCCATCCATTTACACAGGTTCAACAAAACGCAGCCTTAACGGTATTTGGACCCATGAGCAAGCCCAATATTTATCCAAGCCCAGTTCCAACTCTGTCTTATTTGTTTTTTTTTTTGGGGGAAATTTAGCACTCGGTTAAATGTTCACACTTCACAGGCTCACAGCAGCGTGGAGGACCACTGGGCTTCGGCATGACTGTTGTGAGGGTTTTTAAGGTTCTGAAGTTCAAAATTTCGAATTTCGCTGATGGAGTCTCTGTTAGCTTTGCCGAATCCCGCTGAACTCCCGCCATATCTGTCGCGGTTTTTGGATGAGAATCTTAAGACTCGCGAAGATCTTTTCAGGGCTCCTGCTCTGGCGAAAGAATTGAAGAAAAATTGCATTGACTTGGACAAAAATCTCATAAAACTTCAGACTAATATTTCTTCGCTTATTACCTCATGGACTGCTCGTTCAGATGGCGCAAAGAACGTCTTTCATCAACTGAATCACAAACTTCGTAATCTTTTCCTCTATCCATCTCAAGGTTCGCAGCTTTCTCCTAATTTTTCTTCACTTTTTTTTTTCCTTTTTTCATATTGTTTTGTTTGTTACTGAATTTAGTTTTCATTTAATAAAAAACCATTTTCTTCGGTTTTAATTTCATGGATTTTGATGGGATTATTGGTTCTAGAGGAAATGATGAAGATATGGATTTTGTTTTGATTGTTCTCCCTTTAAAAGGAACCTGTGTTTTGTGTTTTCGTTTATTGTTTATACTTGCATGGAGCTAGATGAAACGGGGAGGGTAGATCTGAAGAACATTCGAAAGATTTTAGGTGAGGAGCTGCCGTTGCTTGCAAAGGAAGTGCGCCGAATTGAGATGGTTCGCATTTATGCTGGTACTAACTTACATTTTATCTGTCAATATCTGTACTCTATAGTATCACGGTTTATTCCTTCCATGTGTTCCATCGCCTGCGGCATATTTAGTGAGGCTAATAGAAATTGCTGAAATTTGACATACTATTTGATTTGTGAACTTGGAATTTTTAATGAACTGTGATATTTTCCAACTGCTACCAGCTCTGGAATCAATTTCCAAAATTTAGAATTCAGACTAAATGCTTTTTTTCTACTTTTCTGATTTGACCAGATCAAATATATCATAATATGTTGATTACGGATCCCCCCCACCACAACACACACACCGAAAACAAAGACAAAGAAAGGAAAAGAACAAAATCTACTGACCTCATTTTCTGTTTTACTTTTTGATTGGATAGTCACAACAGATCTGGTCAAATTGCAAAGTATAATTGTTTAGTAGAGTGGTCGGCATTGAGACAAGGCTCTGATACCAGTTGTTGGGTTTCTGCCCAAATCAGGTGTTCTTCGAGGGAACACTGCCTCCAAAAGAAGATACAGAATAAGGAAAGGAAAAATATCTCTTTATTATGCCCTACTCTCGGGCTATGGCTATTCATATGCTTCTTATTACAATCGTAACTAATTCTGATTCTCCATCGTGTCTGATAACGGATTCAATTGACATGGCGAGGCTTCCTTCGAGTGTAGACTCAAGTGCTTCTGGTGGCTTCTTTTTGGCGAGGGCTTGGGCCTTGTGATTCCACGATGATGGCTTCTTGTCCACAGGGTATCAGGACCCCCTCTTGATGGGCCTGGGCTTGGGTTTGTGGGCTTGCATTTGAGGTCCTATCAGTGGATGAAAGGATGTCTAAGTTCAGTACAATATTCAATACTAAATAATGGTGTGGCTAGAGATTACTTTCCAGCAAAAGGGGGGTTGAGACAAGGGGATCCCCTATCTCCCTTCCTATTCACTTTAATTGTGGATGTCCTAAGTAGGATGATTTTGGAGGCTGATCAGAATAATTTGTTTAGAGGATGGAGGGTAAGAAGACTTGCGGTGGCAGTCACACATTTGCAGTTTGCAGATGACACCATTTTATTCTGTGAGGGAGGCAATCAAGAGTATATAATAAATCTACGAGAAATCATCAATTCTTTGAATCAGTTTCTGAACTGAAGATAAATTGGGGAAAGAGTTGTATAGTAGGAATAAGCTTGGAATATGAAAACATGAGAGTGATAGCTGAGGCCTTTCGGAATACTTAGGACTACCTTTGGGAGGGAACCCAAGATCAGAGGCCTTTCGGAAACTAGTGGTGGAACAAAGAAATTGGCTATGTAAAAGAGGAATTACTTATCCATTGGTGGAAGAATAACCTTGATAAGACCAACCTTAGCTAACTTGCTAATTTACTTTTTGTCCTCCTTTAGAATTCCAGTGAGGGTAGTAGAGGGGTTAGAGAAATTTATGAGGGACTTTCTTTGGGAGCTTGGGATGAAAAAACAGAACATTTAGTAAATTGGGGTCAAGTTTGCAAGTCAGAAGAAAAGGGAGGTTTGGGGCTGGGGAACATAGTTCAAAGAAACACTTTGTTGTTAGGAAAATGGCTTTGGAGGTTGGGGCTTCGAGAACCCCCTATTTGGTAATATTGGTCATTCATTCATCCTACTAAAATATCTTCTTAAAAAGCAATTAAAGTTCTAAAATCATTATTTTTTGTGTGGGAACTAAGAATTTAGGACCCTAACATGGACTTATTTGGGCTTGCCTCGAGGGGCGTGGCACAAAGGTGGCTCGTAGAATCAGGAATGTAATATGTTTTACATCACATTAGCTACTTTAAGTAATGCAATTGAGGAAAAAAAGACATTGTGGGTTTTACATGCTTGAAAATGTTTTATATGTTTGATTTTATTTTTATTGAATATGCTTTACATGTTATATTTATGTGTTTTAATTTTAGATAATAGGTTTTTTAAAATATTTATTTTAAAATTTAAAATTTATATTTTTTATTAATATTATGTTTAATATTTTTTATGATTTTTTGCATTTTTTGATTTTTTAACATTTTTTTTGATTTTTTAGATTTTTTTTTTAAATTTTGCACCTTGCTTCAAAAAGGTGCGTGCCTTGCCTTGCGCCTTGGGCGCAAATTGATCCCTACACCTTTTTTGTGCTTTGCACTTTTAAAACACCGACTTTAACCCATATAAGATTTTTTTTTTTTAACTTGGACACCTTCTGCTCACTACCTTTGGCACAAAAACCAAGAGGCTGAGTCATGTACACCTCCTCCTCTAAATCACCATTCAAGAATGCATTTCTGATGTCTAATTGGTGAAGATCCCAGTTGAAATTAGATGCCAGTGAAAGGACTCTAATAGAGATCATCGTGGCTACTGGGGTGAAAGTCTCCGCATAGTCCACTCCATACACCTATGTGAAGTTGTGAACCCTTTTGCCACCAATCTAGCTTTGTATCTTTCCACTGTACTATCAACCTTATGCTTCAATGTGAACACCCACTTACATTCCATTGGTTATTTTCCTTTAGGAAGATCTACCAACTCCCAAGTGCCATTCTTGTGCAAGACATTAATTTTTTCCTTCATTACATTTATGCATTCGGGTATGGATAAAGCTTTTGCCACATTTTTAGGAATAGGAACACTGTCAATGAAGGTAAGAAAAACACAAAATAAAGGTGAAACATGATCATAGGAAACAAAGTGAGAGATAGGATGATTAGTAGTATAAGATCTAACACTCTTTCTCTTAGCAATAGGAACATCTACATCATTAATAGTAGAAGAATCTATATCAAGAGGATCAAGCATATCAATAGGAACAAGAGTACCTAGCTTAAAAGGATCTACCTCTGGAGAGTCTGATGATGTTGGTAGATAGCTTTAGGTTGCACAACTCTTGAACTTTATTGGCCCTTGCGATGGCGAAGTAAAACACGGAATGGAGGAGGAAGCTGAACTTGAACATGTTTCTCCTCAACCCTACTCTCCCTCTGAAGAGAAACAGGGAAGAAGGGTTCACTCTCAAAGGACACATCCATGGAGATAATACTTATAAGAAGCACGGTTAAAGCACCAATAGCCCTTTTGAGACGAAGGATAACCCAAAAGAACACAAGGAATAAAACGAGGGTCAAGCTTACCACGAGTAGGAGCCAAGTCATGAATGAAGCAATGACACCCAAAGACACGCATTGGAATGGAGAACAAAGGGGTGTTGGGAAACAAAAGCTTATGTGCACCTTATATTCTAACAACTGAGATGGTATACTGTTGATAGTATATGTAACACACATAACAATGCCCATCCAAAAACGTTTTAGAACATGCATATGTAATAATAATCCATGAGCAACCTCAAGAAGGTGATGATTTTTTCTTTTAGCAGCACCATTTTGTTGAGGTGTTTTAGCACAAGAACTTCGGTGAAGAGACCCACCTGTAGCAAAGAACTTCGTGAGATCACTATGAAAATACTCCTTTGCATTGTTTGACTGGAAAATGTGAATCTTAGCCTAGAATTGAGTAAAGCGTTGAAAATCTTTTACAAGCTTCGACACTTCATCTCTAGATCTCATGGGATAAACCCAAGTATATCTAGAGCAGTCATTAATCAATGTAATGAAATACTTATAGCTAGTTTCAAAAAGGTAGAGTAATAGGGCCCCAAACATTGGGATAAATAATGTGAAAGGGAAATTCAGATCTTTTATTTCTTAGGCCTCGTTCCTTTAATAGATTCTATTAGGGGGGAAAGTTGGTCAATGAGATTGTGATTCCCATTGACTGACTCTCCCATGCTCTTTTTGAAGATTTAGGTGGGACCCACAGTAAATATGTTTTCCCTGGGTATCACTTACCCGAGGAAGTGTTACCCTTCTCTGACTTGGGAAAGTTAACTTTCTTGAGTGGAGAGTAAATGCTCAAAATACAATATTGTAAAAAATACCCATTAAAACAATATAATTCAAAAAACATGGACTTGGGCCCAAGGGTAAAAATGACAAAAGATGGAAAAGTTAACTACTTACCTAGGAAAGTGGGTGAGGCAAAAGAACATGGGAAAATTGAGAGGCCTAGGGGTGGATATGAGCCAAGCCGAGCCGAATATTTGACTATTCAAGCTCAGCTCGACAATAAAATACCAAGCTCAAATTCGGGCTCGAGCTCGATTCGAACTAGAAATATCAGTTCGAATTCGGCTCGAACCAAAAACACTTATCTCGAGCTTGGTTCGACTCGAGCTCGATAATGAACCGATCCTACTCGAGCTCGAATCCGAGCTCCAAATACTTGCCTAGTTGCCCTGCTTGTTTAACAATTAACTTTGTTCTTAATCATTGACCTAGGACTATCAAAAACATTTACAAATCCTTACAAATCCAGACCCACTACTATCATAGATAGCTATTCTAAGTCTCTAAGTTTAGATCCAACACATTATGGGCCTCCTACAAGCAAGCATGCATATACAAAGATAAATCCTGCAAAGTTTTTTAGATTAAACTTAAAAGATGGCTGAAGCATTGTAATAAAAGTTCTTGTTTATAAAGAGACAAAAAAAAAGTATATAGCTGTCAAATTTTATCCACATTAATAAAAAAAAACTAATGCACAAATCCTCTTTCCCTTGGCAGCTTCCAAAACATTCTTTGCATCCGGAGAAACAAAAACATCCTCTAGCTCACAACTTTGTCTTCCCTTCTGCATGTCAATCAAAGAGAAATAAAAACAGGATTAGGATAATCTTTCCTATTTAAAAGAGAATGCAAAGTCAATGGCCTACAATTCAGCACTATTTGACAAGATCATGACAGCCTACCATCTGGACAAATGACAACAAAATGAAACAAGCATGTGTTTAAAAGAAAATATTATCTTACTTTCTCCTATTTAAGATTGAAAGGTCCAAGTTGACTTCAACCTCATTTCTTTCTCTTTCTCTTTCTCTTTCTCTCTCTCTCTCTCTCTTTATCTTCAGAAACTATTTATAAAGATA